GCGGCCCAAGAGGCCTCCAAGGGGACCCCCCAGGGAGGGCCCAAGGGTCTAAACTCAGTGCTGTTCCTTAGGTGTTTGAAGGATGCTGCATTTGCGCCTGGTCGGCCTTCCGACGACCCGAGAAGGCCCAAGAGCCCCCCAGGGTCGTCCCAAGATCGCCCAAGAGGCCTCCAAGAGGGCGGCCCCAGGAGGGCCCCAAGACGACCCAAGAGGCCTCCAAGACGCCCAAGATGGCCTCCAAGAAGGCCCTGGAGCACCCCAAGAGGACCCCAAGTCGGCTCAGAGAGGCCCCCAAAACGGCTTCCGACGACGTCAGACGTGCCAGGAGGTGGCTCGAACAAGCTAAACTCATGTCTGCTCATCAAGATCATAAAAAGATGTCCGCCTTCCGACGGCCCGAGAAGGCCCAAGGGCCCCCAAAGATCGTCCCAAGATCGTCCAAGGGGCCCCCAAGAGGGCCCCAGAACGGCCGAAGAGGCCCCGAAGACGGCCCAAGGAGGGCCCCAAGACGGCCCAAGAGGCATCCAAGACGCCCAAGATGGCCTCCAGACGGCCCTGGAGCACCCCAAGAGGGAGGACCCCAAGTCGGCCTAGAGAGGCCCCCAAGAAGGCTTCCGACGGCGTCAGACGGGTCAGGAATGCCCTGAGTCAGCCACAGAGGCCCCCGAGAAGCCCCGAAAGGCCTTCAAGAGGCCCAAGGAGACCCCCAAGATGCCTCCAAGAGGCTCCCAGCAAGCTCTCAGGAGACCCCAAGAGTGCCCCCAGAGGCTCCCAAGATGCCCATCCACCTCCCCCTCCTCTTCCCCCTCATCCTCCTTCTCCTCCTTCTCCTCCTTCTCCTCCTCCTCCTCCTCCTCCTCCTGATCTCCTCCTCCTGCTCTTCTCCTCCTCCTCCTCCTTCTCCTCCTTCTCCTCCTCCTCCTGATCTCCTCCTCCTCCTGCTCTCCTCCGTCTCCTCCTCCTCCTGCTCCTCCTTCCAAGTGTTCCCCGAAGGGCTTCTACAACGGCTGGGGGAACACATGGTCCGATAGCTTGGCAGAGCTCTTGCCACAACGCTCGGCCAAATGGGCGATTTCAAGATGCAGGGGGCGGCGGTGATTCGCCGTAGGCGACTTCAATCATCCAAGAGGGGCCTGAAATCACCCGAGCGCCCCGAGAGAGCCCACAGAAGGCCCTCACAGAATTCCAAGCAATCCTTTTACATACCGTACGTACCAACAGCCTTTGGCATGACACTGTTGCGGGCTGTTCCGGAAGCCCTCAAAGGGCCCTCCTACGCCTTTCAGAACCTTTTGGCGTCCTTTGGGACCCCTCTCCAAGCACTTGTGGACTCTCAGAGACCCCAAAGAGAGCTCCAAGGAGCCTCCGAGAGAGCCCGGAGAGAGCTCCAAGAGGTCTCCCATAAGGTTGCAAACAGCATCCTACCAAGGCGCGGTTGCGGAATGGGCCGTGGGCGACGTAATCCAAGAGGGGGCCTGACACAGCCGAACACCCAAAGAGAGCCCCCAGAGGGCTCCCACACAACTCTCCAAGAAACGACCAGCCTCGACTCCCAGATGGTCAGGGATGGCGCTGCATTGCCGTCAAGACGATCCAAAATGCCCTCAAAGACGGCGAAGATGACTCCGTCTTACCTATTATGGCCCCAAGATGCCTCCACGACGGTCCTGGATGGCTGCACGTGGCCGCCATGAAGCCTCAGGGGGCTCCCAAGAGGTCTCCTCCTCCTCCTCCTCCTCCTTCTTGTTGTCCTCTTCGTTTTCCTCTTTCTCCTCCTCTTCCTCCTCCTCCTCCTCCTGCTCCTCCCACTCCCCCTCCACTTCACCCCCCTCCTCCCTCTCCTGATTCCCCCTCCTTTTCTGCGAAAGCAGATAGGCAGATAGCTTGGCCAAGCTGTACTCCTCGTCATACGCTTCTTGGAACCTCATGGGGCCGGAGGGCAACTTTTCGGGGCGTCTGCTCCCAAACTTCCCTAACAACTCCGGCTGTCACCCACATCATGGGGGTCTTCTCCCAAGGTCCGCGGCACAAACCGTAAGGCCTTCACAATACGTCTAATCTAGACAGCCCTGCCGCCTGCAGCCACACTTTGTCAATCGTGTCCAATTCGACACGCGCAGCCCCTGACCGTCTCGCGAACACAGCGTCGACAGCTCTCCAAGCAGATTGTCCTTCGAGGTGAAGGCATACGCGTCCCTTTGGGTGAGGGCATCTGTGTCTGATTCCTCGATGCTCGTATCCCAACGGGGGAGAAGCTGACGCCGCTGGTACATCCCCCCGCACTGACAGCAGTTCCAACTTACGTCGGTTGTACCAACGGGCCGTACTTGGCTCAGGCACGTCCGATGGTCCGCACTTGCCGCAGAGACGAATCCCCTGCAGGGTTCAACAGGCATGGCAATAGTTTGTTCTTCTGCAGAGCGTGAATTCAAAACGTGACAAAGTCGATGCATCGATGCCAATGACGAACAAATGAAACCATACGTAGTATTTACACATGGCCAAACCAACATACGAGACAGGGTGGGGGAGACCGAGGGGGGAAAACGGCGCAGGGGGAACGGCGACAACCATCAGCGGGGCCATCCGTCTCAGAGCTATCGTACCGCGGAAGACTGTCGAAATCCGCCGAGAAACACTGGTTCGTAAATCAATCCTATCCATTTCCCGCCAATGCTTCCTTCACGCCCATCCTTCCTCCCGCATCTTCGCTCCTCCACTGCTCGCTCCGTCCTCGTCCCCGCTCGCCTCCCGAAGCCTCCCACACACACCCCAGCTAAATACTCCCATGGCCCCCTACGCAAGAAACGCATTGCTGCTCAAGCACCACGGACGCAGGAGGAGGCGGAGGAGGAGGAGGAGGAGGTGGAGGAGGCGGAGGAGGAGGAGGTGGAGGAGGTGGAGGAGGAGGAGGAGGAGGAGGCGGAGGAGGAGGAGGAGGAGCAGGAGGAGGAGGAGGAGGAGGAGGACGGGTGGCCCAAGTCCTTCGGAGGAGAGACCCTCCAGGAGGCGGCGCACTCTCTCGGCAAGGCAGCCGAACCACCACCGGCGTCTGAGCTGCCCGCCGGATCCGCCCGCGCACGCGCCGATCCTCGATGTCGTGGACAATCTCCAACACCTGAATGGCGGCCAGCTGCCAAGGCGGGTGAGCGTCCATGGGAAGGTCAGCCTGCTCCTCCTCCTACTCCTCCTCCGCCTCCTCCGTCCTCTTCCGCATCCACGCCCACTTGCATAGAGGCCCCCTAGATTGAGTCTGAGCAAATGGGGTCGGAGGATCGCGCAGCATCGCCGGTGCATCGCCGATGCATCGGCGATGCACCTGCGACGTCGGCGCTGCATCGACGACGTCGACGTGGAGAAAATCGGGCTCCACATCGAGCCGCATCGCGGATGCATCGGCGATGCGGCGCACTGCCTCCGCCTGCTTCTCCTCTTCCGCACCCGCGCACCCACGCCACAGCCGCTCTGGACGATTCCCCCTGGGGCCGTAGGCGACACGAGGAGGGGAGGGCGAGGAGAAGGAGGGCGAGGACGCGAAGGGGGAGGAGGAGGAGGAGGAGGAGGAGGAGGAGGAGGAGGAGGAGGAGGAGGAGAAGGAGGGTGAGAGAGGAGGAGGAGGAGGAAGGAGGAGGAGGAGAAGGAGGCGGAGGAGGAGGAGGGGGAGGAGGAGGGAGGAGTGGGATGATGATGCTGATGCTGATGCTGATGCTGATGCTGATGCTGATGATGATGATGATGATGATGATGATGATGATGATGATGATGATGATGATGATGATGATGATGATGATGATGAACATGATGATGATGACGATGATGAGCAGGAGGAGGAAGAGGAGGAGGAGGAGGAGGAGGAGGAGGAGGAAGAGGACCGGTCGCCGGGTCGCCTAAGCCCTTCGGAGAAGCCCTCCAAGGCGCTCCCATCCCTGCCGCCACCTCCGCAGTCTTCCCCGCTCGCCCCCCGCCCCTCCAAAAACTCTGCCCCTCTTGCCTATTACTCGGGTGCGCCGAGAGAGGAGGGCCAGGAGGAGGGGGGTCAGCACACCACGGCTCCGGGCACGTGCGCGGACGAGGGGGGGGGGGACACGGGGCGCACTGAAAGAAGAGGGGGGCTTCAAACCTGGGAGAGGTCTCCATGCTATCTGCACACCCCCACGGCTGGTTCGGGTCGCGATGCCGCGGGCGTTGGTTTTTGACGCCTGGTGGCTCGTTCCACCTTGAAGGATCGCGGCTCTCCCGTAGCGCGGATCGCTCTACCTCGGCCGATCCTGGGCCACTGGCGGCGTTCGACGCCGCCGCGTCGACGCGGCGCAAACCTTCCATGAGTCGACACCCCCGTCTTCGCCGCTCCAGATGGCTACCTCGCCGATCCCGACGGGGCCGGTCCTGGGCCTGGCTGGCCTGGGATGGGCCCGGCCTAGGGTCGGCGAGGCGGGCAACTGAGGTCCCCCACTGAGCAAGGGCGAGGGGCCTCAACCAATGTGAAGTAAGCCTTCGAGTAGGCGATCGGCTACAGAATCGACTTACCCCAGAATTGAAATGCTCGTCGACCCCCTGGGGAGAAACACACACACACACAAGTGTCGTAGACCTATAAAAACGCTTTACATATGTTTGATGGATTCAACGACCATTTAGACTTTGGGGTGAACCGATGCTGCAGTCGATCCCCCAAGCGAAGCCTTCGGCGCCAACTCACGGAAGCCTCCCATACCATCGCGTCGGCTCTTGCGAACCGACGCAAATCGACGCTGGTCGACGCTGGCCGACGCTGAATCGGCGCCGTCTCATCGACTCCCAGACGCCCATCGACGCTGAAGACGGAGTTCTCAGGGTGCACAGTCGGGGCGTTGACCTAAGGAACCCTAAATACGGAACGAGGCCCCTATTTCCCATAAGTTAAACTTCGATTCCCCATGGAAAAGCCAACGCAAACTGCAAAACAATCAAGGAACACCGAGCCCCTCGCCAACGAGAAGGGTTCCTTCTTCAGCGCCCCGACTGTACCAGGCTCCCGTGGTTTGCTGCCGCAGAAGCCTGGGGCCCCTCTCCTCGGGACCCCCATCCCTCGGGGCCCCACCCCTGAACCGCCGAAGCCCCGTCCTCCTCCTCCTCCTCCTCCTCCTCCTCCTCCTCCTCCTCCTCCTCCTCCTCCTCCTCCTCCTCCCCCTCCCTTCTCCCTCCTCCCTCCCCCCTCCTCCTCCCTCCTCCCTCCTCCCTCCTCCCTCCCCCTCCTCCTCCTGGCTCCCGGCTCCCGCTCACGCCTCCCCGGGCGCCCAGGACCTGCCGCCGCTCGTGCCGCTCCTCCCCAGCTGCTGATCCTGCAGGCCCTCCCCTGGCCATCGCTCGGGCGCCATTCCCTGTGTTTTTGTTCCGGTTTCGTGCGTGGTTTTCTCGCCAAGTCATTAAGGATGCTCCTCGATGGCCCTCGCCGAAGGAACAATACACACGTCCGAGCAATGCCAAGTCCCTGGCTGACAGTGCCGCGGCACGAGCTGTCCAGCTCGTGGAGACTGCATACGCTGTTTAAGCCTCGCTGAGACCAACATTGGCCCGTGGCTGTGGCTGCCTTGGCGTCTGCTGGTCCAGTGCTCGGTGAACATCCGAATGGGTAAGACTGTTGGTGAGACGGGTGAGCACAATTGATACCATACGAAACTGCATGTCTGATGGGCTGGCGATGCTCTAGCCTCCAGACATAGTGCACCCCTGCGTTGCCAAATTCGTCTGGATGATTGCCATGAGCTGCCACGGCTCCGTCATCAACAAAGACCCACCCTGAACCCAGACAGAATAGTACACACATCACCTGAGTCATGCTGTCCCATTGACAAACATGCACCTGCACGGATCCTAGTCCGGCGGAACCATGTTTTCAGTGGGATGACTTAAACACGGACACCTGGCCGCACATCGCCTGTTCAAGCTACCGTGCCGCCAGGTACCCTGGCAACGCCTCTGGACCTGAAACGCGATTTTTGGCATGAATGAAACGGGTCTTGAGAGAAAGGAGGTCCCAGGGAGCCCGCGGACAACGACGAACCTCAGGACACACTTGTCTCAGGACCCTCCTCTTTCATGGCGATTCGCTTTCGGGTCATACTCCGCGTCTCCGGCGGCCAATCGAAAACAGTCGGGCTCCACTGGCATGCTCTCGGCGAGGCGGAGCTGCTGGAACGCATCGGGGGCTGGAAAACCACCGAAAACCGACCCGCGGCTTCATGGCGAGGTCGAGAGCCCAAGACTGGACAACGATGTTGGAATGCAGCCTCCCTTCAAGCTCCCTCTTCACAGACCCTGCAAAAATGTATTCCCACCGAGGGACACGCCGCGTGGCGAGACAGCCGTCTGAGGATCCCGAAGAGTGCCGAGACACCATTCTCGGGAACCCAACGCCACGAACCAACCTGACTGTTGCGTCTGGACGATCCTGCATCGCGCCAAACAATTACAGTATTCGGCCTGACCTACGGAACGATAAATAAGGAACGAAGCACCCTGTTTTCCCAAGTAAGTCTAGGAAATCCGAAGGAACACCAGGGGGGCTCGCCGCCAAAAAGGTAGCAGAACGCATGCAAACCAAAAGAACGACCAGGCCCCTTTTGAAAAGTAAGTGTCCCTTATTCAAGCCGGACCCTGTACTCCTGGGACTTGAACACCCCGACATCATGTAACAATGGCGACTCGACTGCCCTGAATCGCTCCAAAACGCCATGTCGGGTACGCTGAACATGGGAATGCGTGGAACTCGTACCGAGTTTTAGCACGAATGTTTGCCGCGCTCAAGCAAGAGCCACATGTTGAAAAGGAACCGCACTCAATGTGCGAGTCCCCTGCAATGTTGAGACCGAATGTGCGTGGCGCTCAAGCAAGAGCCACATGTTGCTAACGGGCCGCCCTCGGTTCGGCGAAAACTTCTGCAACTTGTCAGGGCCAGTGTGCGCGGCGCTAAGGCGAGAGCCACATTTTGGAAACAGTCCGCCCTCCATCTGTGAAACTGTTGCAAATTTGAACTGTCAGGATCACAAAACCCTTGGCAGTCTCAAGCGGAACGCCGAGACCGCCCTTCCGACTGCCCCTGGAATTGATCATATGGGGCAGGAGAGGCGGAGGAGGAAAAGGAGGAAGAGGAAGAGGATGAGGAGGAAGAGGATGAGTTCCACTTTGACGAGCACGAGCAAGAGGAGCCCTCCCCGACCCAAGGCACGACCGAGGAGCAGGAGGAGCCCGCCTCGACCTGGGAGCAGGGGAGGACTCCCTTTACCGAAGAGCACGAAGAACCTTCCCGACGAGCAGGACGAGCCCGCTTCTACGGAAGACCAGGAGGAGCCCTGCTCTGCCGAGGAGCAGGATGAGCCCTCCTTTGCCGATGAGCAGGGCGGGCCCTCCTTTGCCAACGAATAGGAGCCGCCCTCCCTTACTGGGAAGCACGAGGACCCCCCTTCCTGCCAAGGAGCACAGAGGAGCATCCCCTTCTACCGAAGGGCAGTCGGACCCCTCCTCCACCGAGGAACAAAGAGGAGCCCTCCTCGACCTGGGAGCAGGAACACCCCTCCTCTGCCGAGGAGCAGGAGGAACCCTCCTCCACCGAAGAGCAGGGCGAGGCTTCTTCCACCGAGGAGCGGAAGGGGGAAGCCCTTCTCCACAGAGGTCGTGCGAAGATGCTCTGCAGGCAGTCACGTTGGTCTCCTGGCTTCCAAGGCGCTGCGCCCACTCCTGGAGGAAGCCCTCATGGTGGAGTCTGCGACCCCACCGTGAACCCAGGAACAGAAGGAACTGGAAGAGGGGCAAGAAGCTCCTTCCTCTCACGCTCCACTGCCGCCTCTACCGAAGACCAGGAGCGGCCCTCCTCTCTTGCCGGGGAGCAGGAGGATCGCCCACCTCCACCGGGGAAACATTCGACCCGCTGGGCGACCAACCCCGGGTAGGTGAGGATGGGTGCCGTCTCCAGGACTCCTACCTACAGGGGGTGCGCTGAAAAACGGCCTCACCCTGTCCCAGTCGGGGCTCTGACGATGCGCGGAGCGCGGATCCTGCACTGCTGTCGAAGCATGGCGCGGACCCGCACTGCTGTCGAAGCATGGCCACGACAGCGTTGCCACGAGCATGAAAACACCTCCACCGAACGTCCAAGGCCTCGCCGGAATACCCTCACAGAGAGCATTCCTCGACCGGCCCCAATCTTGACCTGACCAACAAACATTCAGAACATAGTCCAGTCAATTCCCAACAAATAATTATGAAGCGAATCTTAGAACTACAAGTCTTCCTCACATTCAATAGAAATACAACGCGCGTCAAACCATACCGAAACTAAAAGACCACCCGTGCGAGCTCGTGAGCTGCCGACAGAAGCCGATGGCGGGAGGGAGTGGGGGAGGGGAGCCGAGGGCGGGGGGGGGGAACCAGGCTGGGGCGCATGGGACAGGCGCAAGGGCGGCGGAGGGGAAGGGCGGAGGGCAGTCGGGGTGGAGGCCGACGAGGGGGATGGGGGGAGGGAGGGAAACATATCAATAACTGGTAGATGCATACATATATATATATATATATAGTTAATAGTAGGTCATTTGGTAATGATGGGGAAGCAATTTCACGGGGGTGTTGTCATGAAGCGATCTATTATATAATGCATATCATTTGTTGCTGGATCATTTGTTTGTTGGGGAACCAATTGCAGGGGGGGTGTTTCCATGAAGTGATGCATTACCGTTCGTTGGGGCCGCTCAAAGCATTTCAGGTGGAGACCCCGAGCACAAACAACATGAGGGCGCCCATCCAAAACTAGGGCTGCTCGTAACCTGCAGGCCTCCTAGATGGAGTCCAGGTAGATGGGTCGGGAGGATTGTACCGCATCGCCGATGTATTGCCGATGCATCGGCGACGTCCGCGTGGAAAAAAACAAGCTCCGCATCGAGCCGCATCGTCGATGCATTGGCGATGCGGCACGATCTTCCGAGCCCATCTGCTCGGACCCCATCTTGGAGGCCTCGATAACCCTACTTCGGGGAGGGGTTTACCCATCCTCCCTACCCCCTCATCTGAACCTGGACGGGGGGGTTCGAGAGCGGTCGGAGCATCCACAACGGCCTCGGCGAGGAAGCCAACATCATTTGTGTTACGAAGGTGTTGGCCCCATTTTGGCCTCCTGGGGGGGAAGCGAATTGCGACCATCCCCTTCTTTGATTGATGTTCTCCAAGATGGCCCCAAGAAGCGCCCAGGAGGCCCCAAGCTGCCCCAAGATGGCCCCAAGAGGCCCCCAAAAGGCCCCCAGGAGGCCCCAATATGACCCCAAGCGGCCCCAAGACCCCCCCCGAGGCACCCAAGACGCCCAAGATCCCCCCAGGACCGACAAGAGACCCCCAAGACGTCCCAAGAGCCCACGAAGACGCGCCCACGAGATACCTCAAGAGGCTCCGAGAGTCATCCAAGAGACCTATGGCTCTTTTGTTTGCCCTCCTCCTCCTGCTCCTCCTTCCTCCTACTCCTTCTCTTCCTCCACCTTCTCCTCCTCCTCCTCCTCCTCCTCCTCCTCCTCCTCCTCCTCATCCTATTCATTTTCCTTCTCCTCACTCCCTCATCCATCCATCCAGCCTCCTCTTTCTCCACCTCCCTCCTTCGCACGGTTCGGCCGTCCCCCTCTTTGCTCCCGCACTTCCCTGATCATCTCAACTCGCCTGGACATCATTTCTGGATTGGCTGGTGGGGATTTGTTTAATCGCGACCGCGGCGAGGCAGAGTCGGGCGGCGTCCAAATCTGAAGGGGATAAGCGAACCGTGTAGGATGCTGTCAGCCGCAGTCGTCGTCTGCCGGCCAATCGCGGCGGCCTCCACCAACGCGCCTGGGTGCACCTGGCCAAGCCGGCGGTCCGTCCGCCTCCGCCCCGCCGTCCAGTCGGCCCGCGACGTGACGCGGTGGAGCCCCTGCCGCCGGGTGGGGGGGTTCGCCGCAAGGGGCTGCCCTCAGATCCAGGCCCTCGTCCTGCTCCTCCTCCTCCTTCCCCCTCCGCCTCCTCCTCCTCCTCCTCCTCCTCCTCCTCCTCCTCCTCCTCCTCCTCCTCCTCCTCCTCCTCCTCCTCCTCCTCCTCCTCACTCCTCCTCCTCCTCCTCCTCCTCCTCCTCCTCCTCCTCCTCCTCCTCCTCCTCCTCGTCGTCCTCCTCCTCCTCTTCCACCTCCTCCTCAGTCTTCTCATCCTCCTTCTCCTCCTGCCTCCTGTTCCCTCCTCCTCCTGCTCCTGCTCCTGCTCCTGCTCCTGCTCCTGCTCCTGCTGCTCCTGCTGCTCCTGCTGCTCCTCCTCCTCCTCCTCCTCCTCCTCCTCCTCCTCCTCCCCTCCCTGCTCGTGTATGCACCCCCAGCCTTGAGCAGACTCGTGGATGCACCCCTGGCCTCGAGCAAAGTGTCTACACGCCATCGTGGAGCCCAACATGCTGGAATATATCCCAGCTGCCGCAGGCGGCACAAGCACACACATTCGCGGGTCCGCGCAGAGTGCGTGGATCGGCTTTGACACGGCGCTGACCAAAGAAATCTGCGCCAACCCAAGAGGGTAGTGCCATCCAGCCAGGGCAAGGGTGGTGATGGGATGCGCAAATCCCAAGCGGTTTCAAGGGGGGCAACACTGGCAGCGGGGTCGCCACCTCCTCGACGACGACCCCTCAGGGCCCCCGCAGCCCCCGAAAACCTTCAAGCGCCCCAGATTGCAGGGACGCTTTCTCGACCGTCGATCCTCGAACCCCGATCCTCAGACGGAGCCATTTACCTTCGCAGTGTTGACCCCCCTGTCGAGCGAGGATCAGCCGTCCTGGCATTTCCATGGGACGACCACCTAACCCTCATTGAACACAATCGTATCCCAGTAAGAGAAGACAACTTTCCTGATCACAGGACGCAGATCGTGTCGGAACATCACCGTCTCAACCAGAAATTGTCTAGACACCTGCGTGCAACTAACTCTCACGTGATTCCCACAGTGTGTCTTGCGGGGAACGCAGGCAGACTATCACGTCTCGTCGCGACCTGGTCAGCGTCATTGCCTAAACATCTCGGGAGCGGCCAAGAGGGGGGTGTCCAAGAGGGGGGGGTGCAAATCATGACCGGCGGCATGTGCGCGGCCCAGCGGGGGGGCCAGGGACGTGATGGAATAAGAAGAGGCGCCATGAAATCTGTGGAGATATCATGGCCCCCGCCATGATATCCACCTCCCCCTAGTCATCACCCCCCTCTTTGCCGCCCCCGAGCATCGCCGCCCTCTGCGGAAAAGACCTCTGCTCAAGGCCCCGGGATGCAACCTCGACGGCGCCCAAAAGGCGGGGTCGTGCAGCGTGACCTGAGGCACGTGCGCGGACGAGGGTGAGGGGGGCTCACAAGACGCATGGAAAGAACAAAGGGGAGGGAGCAAGGAGGGAGGAGGGGACCAGAAGACGCACTGAAGAAGAGAGACTTTGGACGCCCGAAATGGGCATGGAAAGAATGGATACAATGCCCAACAACAAATGTTGTCCCAAACCAAGAGCGGCCGCTGTTGGGCAGGCGGCCTTCTGTCTCGAGTGGACACAGGCCGCGGCGGCGCGGACAGCGATCCCTGTTCAAAAAGGACAGGAACTGCTGTGGGGCATTGTATCCATTCTTTCCGTGCCCATCTCGGGCGTCCAGAGAGACATCAGGGCCCCTGCCGTGAGTTCCCCCCCCGGGGCGATCACCACCCCGCAAGCAAGGACGCTCCAGACGGGGATGCGCGAAGCTCCGCGCCTGCGCGACGCCCGGGCCACGGCTGCCCTCGCCCGCGCCCTCGTCGCCGCTGGAGACGCAGATCTCCCGCGCCTGTCCCGCGGAGCGCCAGCGAGGAAAGGTGCGCGAGTGTTTGCAGTACAGTCGAGGCGTTGACCTAAGGAACCCTAAATAAGGAACGAGGCCCCTATTTTCCATAAGTTGAACTTCGATTTCGTATCGAAAACCTAAGGAACATCCAGGGCAAGCTGCGAAACAATTAAGGAACACGGAGCCCCTCCCCAACGAAAAGGGTTCCTTCTTCAGGGCCCCGACTGTAGTTGGTGCCTGGATGCGCTGCACTCCGCGCGCTGGGTGCCAGTCGCGCGCGGATGCAGTCGTACATGTTTTGCTGCCCGTGTGCATTCGTGGTCGCCCGTGCAGCAGCTGGCGCGCCCCCCCCGGAGTAGTTGCGTTTTGTCTTGCACGCGATGGCACACAATCGATTCACGAACGATGGCCCCCCTCGCCGCCGACACATCTGCGCAAGAACTACCTGTCATTAAAGGCTTAACGACTTCTGCCGCCCGTCGACTGACGCTAGAGCGGCCGCAATTCGCTCCAACTCTCCCTGAAGGTTTCTGTATTTCTCTGGATTTGCCCAGATTCTCTTGGATTCACCTCGATTATTTTGCATGTACCTGGATTCATCTGCATTTACCTGGATCTATATGGTTCGATTCCCACAAGTCGATTGGTGAAAAGTAGTCAGGCCCTTGGGGGACCTGCTCCAGCTCAGGGAGGCAGCGACGCAGCACTTAAAACGCTGGCGGCGTGCTCGAGGGGTGGCGCCAAGGCGAGGGGCCTCTCAACAGCAAGGCGAAGCCAGCACTGGGATAACGTCGGAAACGTCGGAGATCTCTGAGATCCGGCGGTTCATGTATCGGGCACCGCGGGCTCTGAGAGCGTTCTGGAACGCACTGGAACAGCTTATCCTGGTCCCAGGCCTACCCGGAAGAAGGCGGGGGGCTTCGCTGAAGGCAGAAACTTTTTCCCCAATCAAAGATTGCCTCTGTAGTGGTCCAAACGGATGCATATGGTTGGGTGAAAAATGGCGCCGAGTTCGGCGGCACGCCCGGGTGCCCAGGTGCCCGGGTGCCCAAGTGCCCCGGGTTCCCCGAAGCCCGGGTGCCCTACAGCCCTATAGCCGTATAGCTATATGGACCTCTAGCTCTATATACCCCTATAGCCATAGTCCTATCACCCGACAGCCCTACTAGCCCTGTAGCCCTAGGCTCCATAGCCCAATAGCCCTATAGCCCCGTGGCCCTATAGCCTTATAGCCCTAGAACCCGATAGCCCTAACAATAATATCACTCGTACCTTGGACAAAACCCTAACACAAATATGTTTTGCGGCTTTTCTCTCCGGCACCATTCATTCGAAGGGCCCGGAGGCTTCCTGGAGGCCAGGGGGAGGATCAACCAGCATTGAATCGGGCAACCGGATCGGATTGGAATGTGCGTGGGCTTGGTCTGCATCGGCACGGAGGCGAGCTCGAATCGGATCGGCTGCGCCAGGATGCGCAACGTCGCCGTTGAACCACCGGGCCGCATCGGATCGCCGGCATGCATGTCGGAATCGAGTTGGGCCGGCCAGGACGATGGCCACATGTAAGCAAGTTCCTGATTTGCGGGGCCTTCCGATTCCTCCGTTTCCTCCTCCTCCTTTTTGCCCTCCTCACCCCGGATCGCTTCGCAAGGGGTGCCAGGGACGTATGGGAATAAGGAGATGCGCCATGAAATCTGGGGAGACATCATGGCCCCTGCCATGATATCCCCCCTTCCGTAGTCATCACCGTCGCCTGATGGGCCGCCTCCGATGAATGACAAGCACGTCGTCTTTGAAAGCGCGTGCTGATAACTCACTCGCCTCGCTTCTTGCCACCCGAGCCTTGCCTCCCTTCGGCAGGAGCGCGCGGACAGGTTGCTGGGTCGCCCGACCGACGTGTCATTGATACTGCTGAGCTCAACGGCTCAACGGATGCCAATGCCGCCTCAAGCCCCTGGATCGGAAGACAACTTTAGGACTTTGAAAAAATAAACTAAGACGAGTCAACAAAACACTCTAGAATCCGCCGATCCGGCGTGTGAGTTGAGGGGGGAGGGGGTGACCGGGGGTGGCTCTGCCAGGGTCTAATAAATTAAGGGGGAAAGGGGGGGGGGTCCAGCGGCGTGGGTTCTGGTGGCATGGGGTGGAGGGTCCTGGTCCCCCGTCCCGCCTGCAGGGGATATTCGGGGAAGGGGGCTGGGGGGGAGGTACCGGTGGCCGGGGCTCTGAGGGGGGGGGTCCGGCGGCGTTGGTCCCGGTGGCGTGGAAGGGGGGGGGTCCGGCGGCGTGAGGCGTGGGTTCGGCGGCGTGGGTCCCGGTGGCGTGTTTCCCGCCTGTGGACAGGGGGAACTGAGGGAAAACCGGGGGGGGTCTGGTTGCGTGGCTTCCGATGGAGCTGGGGATCGAGGGAAAGGGGGGGTACGCGGCGTGTGAGTTTGAGGGAGCCTCAACTACAGCCTCGAGGCTGAGCTTCAGCCTCTGGGGGGGTTGCCGGGGTGGCTGGGGCGGGGGGGGGGCGCGCGTGTGTGCGGGGTCATATTTGTCCGTGTACGCGAGAAAAGAATCGGGTAAAGAGGGAGAGAGAAATGGAACGGGACAGAAGCGGAAAAAGGGGAACAAATGGAGGGGAAGACGAAGGTGGCGGTGAAATGTGTGTCTGTTGTGTGGTGCGTGTGTGTGTGTGTGTGTGTGTGTCTGTGTGTGTCTGTGTCTTTGTGCGGTGTGCATGGTGCGTGTGTGTGTGTGTTGATGCGTGTGCGTGCGTGTGTGTGTGTGTGTGTGTGTGTTGTCGGCGTGTGCGTGTGTATGTGCCTACGGAGGTGGCGCGCGTGCGTGAATGTGGCGTGTGTGTGTGTGTGTGTGCATGTGTGTACCTGTGTGTGGGTGGGTGTAGTGTGTGTGTGTGTGTGTCTGTGTGTGTGTCTGTTTGTCTGTCTGTCTGTCTGTCTGTCTGTCTGCCTGCCTGCCTGTCTGTCTGTCTGTCTGTCTGTCTGTCTGTCTGTCTGTCTGTCTGTCTGTCTGTCTGTCTGTGTGCGTGTGTGTGAATGTGTGTGTGCGCCCGTTTGCCTGTGAGCGTGTGTGCGTGTGTGAGTGTGTGCGTGTGCGTGCGCGCGTGTGTGTGTGTGCGTGTGTGCGCGTAATGTCTGCGAGCGTGTGCGTGCGTGTCTGTCGGCGAAGTGTCGCCGCCCAGTCTGGGGGGCACCCCAGACCCGAGTCGGCGGCACTGGCCGAAGGCCACTACAATAATCCCAAATAGTCGACAAATCGTCCCCAGATTATGTTTTAAACTATTTTTGAATATTCCTCCTGTAGGCCTGTAGGGGAACATGCCCGACTGAAGACCAGCTGAGACAACGACGGCCCTCCCGCCAGGCCCAGATCCCATTAACCATCGGTCCCTGGGCCCCTCCCAGGATCCGTCCTGACCCGCCCGGCGAGGCGGATAAAGCCGGTGCGGCAAGAGGAGAGCCTCGGGAGGCCAAAACGAGGACGCAAAACGCCAGGGAGGACCACCACTGTGCCTCGACAGGCTATCCCTCCCACTCCCTTGAGACGACGACGCCTGTACGGTTTCCCCCGGGGCCGTAGGCGACCGGCGGAGGAGGAGGAGGAGGAGGAGGAGGAGGAGGAGAGGAGGAGGAGGAGAAGGAGAAGGAGTGAGGAGGAGGAGGAGGAGGATGATGATGAGGAGGAGGAGGAGGGGGAGTGTGTGTGGTGTGGTGTGTGTGGTGTGGTGTTGTGTGTGTGTGTGTGTGTGTGCGTGTGCGTGCGTGCGTGCGTGCGTGCGTGCGTGCGTGTGTGTCTGTGTGCGCGCGCGTGTGATGTGGTGTGACGCGGTGTAGCGTGGTGGTGGTGGGTGGGGTAGTGGGGTGGTGGTGGCGGTGCGCGTGCGTGCGTGCGTGCGTGCGTTGGTGGGTGGAAGTGGCGGTGGGCGAAGCGGGGCGCGGGGCGGTGGTGGCGGGCGGACGGGCGCGCGAGAAAGAGGCCCGCGCTGGGGCGAGAACGCCATCCTGAACGACGGAGGCAAAACACCGATCCGAAAATGAGACCCACGCTGCAGCGGGAGCACGATTCGGAACGAGCGGGGCTGAAAATGAGGCCGGCGCCTCAGCGAGAGCAGCATTTTGGAAAAAATGCGTGCGAAATCCCAACTCCCGAGAATCCTGTGTAAAAAAACAGTACGCGGGGGGGGTGCGAACACTCCAAGCACGTCATCAGGGGAAGAGGGAGAGTAGCAAGTAATTGTAGATGGAGGAGAATGAGGAGAAGGAAGAGGGAAGAGAAAGAGGAGGAGGAGGAGGAGGAGGAGGAGGAGGAGGAGGAGGAGGAGGAGGAGGAGGAGGGGTCGCACAAGCCCTTCGGAGAAACCCTCCAACGACGCCCCCTCGGCTGCCCGCCCCGTGGGCCCGTGGGAGACCCCCCATCACATCCCCGTGGGCGTCGTCGCTCACTGAGGGGGGGGGTCGATGAATAAGGGGTGCACGGTTTCCCCTGGGGCCGTAGGCGACCCGAGGAGAAGAAAGACGCGGACGAGGCGGAGGAGGTTGAGACGGAGGTGGAGGAGGAGATGAGGGAGGAGGAGGAGGAGGAGGAGATGGAGGAGGAGGAGAGGAGGAGGAGGAGGAGGGGTCGCCTGAGCCTAAGCCCTTCGGAGAAACCCTCCAACGACGCACCCTCGGCTGCCCGCCCCGTGGGAGACCCCCCTCACACCCCGTGGGCGTCGTCGCTCACTGGGAGAGGGCGATCGGTAAGTTAAGGTGTGCACGGTTCCCCCCGGGGCCGTAGGCGACCCGAAGGGAGGAGGATGAGGAGGAGGAGGAGAAAGAGGAGCAGGAGGAGCACGACGAGGAGGAGGAGGAGCAGGAGGAGGAGAGGAGGAGAGGGAGGGGGAGAGGAGGAGAGAGGAGGAGGAGGAGGAGGAGGAGGGAGGATGGGGAAAAGGAAAGGAAGGAGGAGGAGGAGGATGGGGGAGGGGGAGATGGAGGAGGAGGAGGAGGAGGAGG